AATTGTAAACTCTTCAGTGTAATCAAATGTAGATCAAGTAAAACTCCAAGAAATGAACTTTGCATGTTTGGCCATACCACATGCCTCAGACCTACACAATTACTAAACTGCTTCTTGTCTCAAAAATAGATTTATTTTTTCTCATTTCATAATCAGTGTCATACAGCATTCATTTTAAGGGAGAAATCACTCCCCAAGTAATTTTATGGACACATTACTTCCCAGTCAGTAAAACACAAAATAAAACAAAATTCCCAAGAAACAAATATTCATTAATCACTAAAACAACTGGTAAATAACAAATATATTTCAATTCACTTATGGATCCAAATGCACAAAATAAAGTTATAATATCTAATCACCCAATTTGATTGAAAGACAGTACTTATTAAACCCCCATACTATTGGTTTTACTCTCTTCAAAAAAAAGTAATAAGAACTGTGGGAGTAATAAAACCCAAAATGTATAATTGTCATTGTACAAAAGAAAAGAAAAGAAAGTGCTCTAAAGGTTATAACTGTGTATATGTTTAAGTGTATAAGATAGATAACCATATTATTGAGTGTTTTTTGGATCATTGAACAAAACTGTTTGTACTCTCACTGTTTGAAAGTCCATTTTATATGCTTCAATAATGTAACTTTAACAACTATTTCTAAGATGAGAATATGTAATCTATTAACTAGTGATTTCTTACTGTTTATTTTTTAAATTTTGTATTACTTGTACCCTTTTTCTGTTTTTTTTTTTCCTTTTTATCCTTAAAAAAATAAACATACTATAGGTTCAACCAAAATACACAGTTGGTCAGCTCAAATGTCTTAAAAATGAGCATCACAAAAATTTGTAGATCAACTGTAAGTGTGAAGATCTTATGAAAAGACTATTTTATCTTTAGGATACTAACTTCTGGTCATGCATTATCTAGAGATTTGTGAAGAAATGATTCACATTGAGTTTTCATGTAATGTATTGGTACAGGATTTCAAAGCATTAGAAATTTTCACAGGTTTATAAACTATACACTATATATGACCATTCTGTGATTTTGATGTAATATGAATTGTAGTTTAAAGGAAGCCTTACGTTCATCCCTTCTACGAATGGTTTTCCATTATGCTGTGTTCTTTAGTGAGTATGAGTATGAATGAGAGCAAAATTAATAGAGCTGTTTCCGTAAGATGCACTGTGAGAGGAGCCTTTTCAGAAGTGGCTATTTAAAGCTTTTGTGCAAAGAAAGTCTTTCTGTAAATCCTGCATATATTCAAGAAAAAACCTGATAAAATAATTAAGTTAGTTATAGATAAGAGAATTACAAAGTAAAGACAGATTGAATATGAATAGGTGCAGAAGACATAAAACAGTGGTAAAGATTATATTTCTGTGTCAGTGTATTTTTATTTTGAATGACCTAGTAGAGATGGATGACAATAAATAACGCAAAACTTCCAGGTTTGGGGAAATGGGTAGTGACTCCCTAAGGGCATAGCATTTCCTTTGGGGAAGTACAAATGCTCCCCTTTTAGGTAGTGGCGAGAGTTGTAACATGTGGAAAATATATTTGTGCCAATGAATTTTACACTGTAAAACAATAAATTTCAAATTATACAGCGTGGTTTTGTTTGTTTGTTTCTTGAACAGGGGTCTTGCTATGCAGTTCATGTTGGCCTTAAATTCACTAGGTAATCTAAACTGGCCATTTACACATGCTGACATTCTTGACTCTCTCTGGGATTACCTTCATGGACCACAAGCCTGGTTCACAATATGAAAGTTTTATATAAACAACTATAACAACAAAAAACTGGCCAGAGCGGTTCAAGACCTTAATTTGTTAATCTTGTGACTCACACAAATATAATTCCTACATGATAAAAGTAGCCAGATCTATGAATGTTTTCAGTTATATTATTTATTAAATTTGACTTTAAAGAGAAAAAAGAAAAAATGGAAAAAATCAAGAAACAAACAAACAGACAACAATAAAAGAAAAACAACAGCAACAACAAAAAACTCTAGCTATCTAGGTTTTTGAAAGAAGGTGATAGAAATTTAACAATTATTGTTTTATTGTGTGTTGTTACCTTGAAAATAACTCCTGAGTTTATCAGATACAGGAATAAAATAAAACAGCAAATGGAACAAACATTGGATTTCAGAAACAAAATAAAAAAATCCCCATAGTTTCCACAATGTACACAGCCTTCCTCCATACAGACGCCGAGACTATCAGCCGCAATCAATCAAACAGCAGAAGCAAAGTCAAGCCATCATGGGAGCATCAAGCTATTCCCTTCACCACACTCTGCTATCACCTCACTCTGAGTTCTTCTGTATCAGCCAGTTGCGTGGGGGGGGGGGCGTGGGTTGTGATGGGCTGGGATTTGGGGTGCTCCTTTGGCACACTGGGTGGTTGATAATAAGGCATGAATCAGCTTCTTGCTGGGTCTGTTCCCGTTCCTTCATTTATATTTGAAACATGTTATATTTAAAAGTATGTTTGGTTATTTATATGCACGGTAAGATCATTGTGAAAAACTTCTATGGATTTAGTAATGATAACAGTTATGCAAATTGATATTTTTTAGTTGCGACTGTACTGAGTTCTCCATGTTAACTCATTCATTGTTTCAGCTCCGTAAAATAGGTAGAATTGTTACTCAATTCCATGTCTCTGGAGAGTGGAATATCAGACGGGAGAAATAACTTGCCCAAATCTACATCATTCTGTAGAGCTACAGAACTCAGAATAAAACCAGCGAAAACCACTACGCTATGCTGATGCCCTTTACAAAAGTGCTAAGTAAAATCCACTAAAAATAGATGTTAAATCAGAAAAAATTGGTGCCAGTTCGGATTTTACATTTACTGCCATTAATATGTGGTAATATATTGCACAGATTTACTTTCAGAGATGTGGTGATATATGTAGCTATCTATAGGACATGAGTAATTTAAACATGAAACGTGTTACCCTGAAAAAGACGCGGATGAATTTAATACATTGTATGTCCGATGCCTGGATCATTCACGTATTCCAAATGGCATTAACAAATTGATAATATGAAATCAAACATTACAGATTGTGATTGAAAATAAATACACTTATTTTGCTACATTTTAAGACTATTAACTCAGGAAAACATTATACTGAAAGAACAAGCATTACTAATAAATATTGTTTTTTGAATTCTATCTATTCATTCAGTCTTTGAACTTATGTAAATTTACATATTTTTTCAAAGAATAATTTTTAAAACCTTAAAGGGATTGTTTAAAATCCCTGAAGTCTTTTGTAAAACTTGTTTTTATCTTGCAAGCAGAACAAGGAGAACACACGCACTTTTTGCAATGGTCATATGTCATAAAACATGTTCACTCATCATTCATTCAGACATGTCTCACCATGTACCCAAGCTGGCTCAAGGAATCAGGTGCCTTAGACTTGCAAGGGGCTAGAATAAGAGGCACATGCCATGATACAGCTTAGCTGACTTACCTTATTACACTATCTGGAGATATATTCATCAGCTGGAGATATATTCATTGGCTGGCACACATTTACATTCTAAAAAATAATCCTCTACATAAATACATATGTGTAGAAGTATTTCTGCATCACAGATTCCTTAAAGTTCTATTGCAGAGTGAAATCGTTGTTTCAATTCTATTTGACAGAATTATGCTACATTGAACTCCCACAGCTAAGATATCCTTAAATTCCTATGGGATATAAACATTCTCAGGAAATCACTTATTGAATTGCTTTCTGTTTTTCAAAACATCAGTGACTTTTGTCGTCATTTAGGTGTTACTGTTTATTTTTCACTTCCGTGAATTCTCTCTTTCTCTTTTGTCTATCTGCATGCGTATTGCACTCTAAATTTTTGGTTAGTGATTTACGTTATTTTCCACTCCATAATGAATACAAAACCTTTGTTTTTTGATAAAGAGTAGTTTTACCTTATGTGAATGATTTTATAACATTGACTACAAGCACTGCATTGATTGTATTTTCTTTTAAACGTGCTAAACATTAGACTGATTGCATGAGAAATTATATTGTATACTCTGTTATAATTCTACTAACCAATGCAAGTGATGTGAGGGTGTTTTTCATGAGAGCTACAAGATTTCCTTGCTACCAATAAAGCCAAGTAGATATTTCTCAAGTCTAATCAATTTTAGCATAAACTCCTTCATGATATAGAGTTTCAACAAGGGTCTTCATCACATTTGTAGTTCAATTTATGTATTTCCCATGCAATTTATTTTATTTTAATTGATGTTTTCAGTGATAGTTTTGAGTTCTTAGGTTTAAAGGATAATGATGATTACATCAATTTCAGTTCGATGTAGTGATATAATTTTTCTATTTGTTATGCATAGAAGAATGCAACAATAGACTACTGAAGAAAGAACATGAGATATAGATGATATATAATAATTTTCATTGAAAAATGTCTAACTCAAACCTATCAAACTTTACAACATGTCTGCATGATGATTTAGGCAGGCTGCTTGCTTCTGAAAAATAAGACTTACCTGTATTCATGTACATTTGGAAGAACAGTAGATTCAACAAATATTTTTTGAATACCCACTGTTCACTGCTGGAACCACAATTGAGACCCTACCTATACTCTCAAATGATATGAAGGATAAGACTAAGCAGGTTACTTTTTAGATAGTTCTAAGAAAAACTTCAAGTTCAAACATGACATAAAAACTTCCCCAATAAGGTCAATGTTACAGTAGCAAGTAGTTAGTAAATAGTATACTTCTCATTCTCTATATATTCTCCCGAGGAATGATGATAGCAAGAACAACATAAATGTTAGACCAACTCTTTTGGGAAAGAAAGGATGTTGAGGTAAATCTAACACAAGCAGTCAAGAAGCACTACTGGTGTTCCAAAACCAAATTGAATGATACTTTTTTTTTTACAAAATTCTGATTATTGAATAATTTGTCTAGAAAATAATGACAGTACAATGTGTTGGTATTTCCAATTAATGTTCTTATGTCCATGAATGAGTTGCAAATCACAGCTAAGTTAAGTAAATTCATAGCTTTACAATTTTCTACCTCTTTACCAGCTATTAAATATTTTTGAAATGAAGTTTAGAGTTTGTTATGGGAAGCAGTGATAATTTGTGTAACCTCAGGAGGAAGGAATTTTGCATCACCATCTATTGTTGCTGTAATAAACTGGGGGAAATTTCAAATGTATAATCCCCATTTATCAGGACTTCCAGTCCAAGCATAAATGCAACTACTCTTTTTTTTCCTTCCTTTCCACTTTTGCAAACTTGTGGCAACAAAACAGACAACACTTTGAGATGATGAATATCACAGTGGCCACAGAGGCCAGCAGGAACCCGATCACATCCAAAGAGTGGTATTGCAACCAGGAGAGGTCGTGGGCTGCAACCCGCAGGTGCTTGGCCCCTTTGTGACGCATGACAAACTCAACCCAGAAGACTGCTCGGTCCAGGGGCTTCACTGGCTGGTCATGGTGAATTCTTGATAACCTCAGGGCATTCTGTTTATAGCTATAGCAGAAGCAGAAAGGCCAACATTAAAAGCTGGTTAATTTGCCCAAGTCTATCACAAGTTTTTAGAAACTTCTGTAAAGATGTATCTAAATATGTGCCAACAATTAAAATATAACAAGCAGTAAAGTGGTATACTATGAGGTGGGTCATCTTAGAGCATTTAGCTTTTATATTGAATTTTTCTTGTAGGCATTTTTTATATACATGTGACTAGTGAGAAACTGTCAACCTGGAGTTTTTGAAAAGGAATTGTGTCATAGGAGATGAAATGGCAGTTAAGTAGTCTGTTTTCCTTCCTCTCCTCTCTTCTAGTTAATTTCCACCTAGTAGTCAGAGTTTTGTTTCCTTTTTTTCCCCAAATCACATGAGATTAGGCCAGCACACTGCTCAGAATTTTTGCCTTCTCATCATATGTAGAACAACATGCAAATCTTTTGTTGGACTACAGCCACACAATGTCACTTAGGGGAAAAGTTTCCTCTGATGCCTTTCCTCCATTGTTCTGTTTACTTAGTATTCTGTATAATTTTCAAATTCATTAAGTATTGCATAACAAAACTTTAAATATGAGCTACTTAATAAAGTGCGTTTATCATTAATAGATAGTTGTTTATTATATAATTGATAATTCTTGTGAAGTAAAAATGTCAATATTCATACAATCAAATCATGATTTAGATGTCATTTTTGCCTAGAACCATTACAGCTCTGTGGACTAGATTCACATTAGTTTCTTTCTCAAAGTACTTTTCTAACTATGAATACCATGTTTTGTTTAATAAATCTAATTTATTTATGTGAATAACATAGCATGTACTTATTTGTGTCTATTTATGACAGTTACTTACTTCCACTATATGTAGTTACCACATATTATCAACTCGTCATTTTATGGTTTTGGAATTTTTGGATTGTAAATTGTTGTTCACTTTTATGTTTAATTCCATTTTACACATTCTCATATGTGTATTGGTTTATCAAATCACATATTTTTTTCATTTTATACGGTTAGGCATATAGTTGCTGTGATAAAAATGCATGTCCTATTATGATTTCTTTGTTGAAATTTAAATGTTTAGAAATGTACTATTGAAATATTGACTCAAGGAATTTTTCGTTATCTAATTTTGAAACTTTAAAAATCTTAATTCAACCATGCATGATCGGTATACTCTTTACATTTTAGATTTTTTTTTTTTGATCTGGGAATCATACTCATGACCTTATGCTTGCTAGACAGGTTTGCTACTGTGCAACATCCTTGATCATATAACTCAAAATTTTAAAAATTTATTCATAGATTTTATTTCGCAAACATTTAAATTTTTACATTGTTTCCATTTTTTCATTAGGCTTTTCAAATCTGATATATTTTCATTCATTATTTTTTAATGTTTTCAGTGTATATGATAAAGATACTTCAAAACTCCCTACTGTCAATAAAGTGGCATATTCATATTTGCCCTTTATCAATTTTTGTTTTTTATGTTGAAAGTAAGAACAAAAATTAAGAAATTACATTACAATGAATAGTTAATTAGTTAGCATTATGAAATATTCATTGTAAAGTTTAATTATATTTTACCTACCTTGATGTTGATAAATGTACAGCAGTTTAGTATGACTTCACTTAACTGGATACTCTTTTAGTGATAGATTTCAGATATAATTACATAAGATATATTTTACAAACAAAATACATGGTATGCTTTGAAATAAAGACTGTCTTTGTATTTTAATGATTAATCTGGTTGTGTTTAAAGTAGTATTAAAATACATTTAAATCTTTGATTTTTTACATTTCCTCTATTTTTCCAACATGACTTATTTTCTTTCTTTACTTTCTCTTGACTATTTGTAAAGTTTTTTCAACATTCAATTTTGTTATTTAATGTTTAATAACATATTGTTAAAGTGTTTCTGTAATGATATCCTTTTGGTGTAATAGTATCACTGATAATTTTACATAATGCTAATTTCATATTAGAAATGCTACATATATTACAACATTTTTGTTGCAGTATTAGAAAGTTTGATTACTGAAAATATATTTTGTTAACCTTACAAACTTCTATGCTTTAAAATGTATCATCATGAAAGGATGAATCCATGTATATTGAACAAAGAAAAACTGTAAATCAAATATTTGCAAGTGGGCTTAGATCCATATTTAATACAGGATACTTACAATGAAATAATAAGACAAATAACCAAGTTAATAAAAGTTTTAGGGATTGAAAATGCTATTGCAGCAAAGTAGAAATGTGAATAACCAAAAGGCATGTGAGCAACTATTCATTACTTCTATAAATAAGTGAAATGAAAAGTGAGATCACAATCAGGTATCACAATGTGACCCCTGTCAAATCAAAGATGTAGAGACAATACGTTTTTGTAATAGTCTAGAAAAGTTGGAGCCTTTCTGCACTACTGGTTCAGGGTGTACAATACAGACTCTTATTTGGAAAGCACATTGACCATTGCTCAACAGCACAAAGTTCTTCTGTGAGGCAGTAATTCTAACCTTTGGTAATGTACGAAAGAAGAAAAACATATATTCACACAAAACATTCAAAGACTTGTTCATCATAGTCAAAACTGGAACACAAATAGTTCACAAAGCAGGAACTGGATAAATTATCATTTAATTCTTGTTTTTCATTAGAAATAAAATATGAGAAATGTTAAATCATGGAGAAAAGTAACACGATTCATGCCATCATGTTGAACAGTTTGCAATCTAATTTTATGGAACAATATATAAAGAATATTCTGGTCCTTTTGTGTTTTTTCACAAATACCCATCATCTGAAGCTTAAGGGAGGAGAGGTTTAGTTCTCTAAAAGTGTGTACAATTTGTGACAGAGATAGTTTCAGAGCATTTAGGTACTGATTTGAAATAGTTTATTGTGTTTATTAATAAATTATATTAAATTTATTGTTCTTTCCAGCTATGCATTTTGTCATAGTAATAAACATGTATTAAAGAATACATAGTAATAAACATGTATATATTACATTTAAGTACATAGTAAATTTTTGTATGTTTTTAATAACTGATCAGGCATTAAAACTTTGGGGTCAATTTGCTGTTAAAATCACTGGTTGAGTGTAAAAGGCTATTTCAGAGTGTTAAAATCATTTCAATTTTCAAAATTAGATTCAAAATAGCGTGACATCAATGCTTATTATCAAGATACTTGATCTATAAAAGGAATTGAGGAAAAAGGGTACTCACGAAAGATCATTAATGACTGTTTTCATTGCATTGACCAAATCTGTGCTTGACATCCTGTTGAAATCCACTCTAACAGCTGCTCCTTTGGCCTTTATGTGGGCAATATTATCACCTTGATCCCAAAACAGAGGAATGCCCACCATAGGGACGCCATGGTAGATTGCCTCATAGATGCCATTGGTACCACCGTGAGTTATAAAAGCTTTAGTTTTTGGGTGACCTGGAATGGGAGAATGTAAAGAAAATTATCAATAATCAGTCTTAAAATGAGAAATGGAATGAAAGGCATTGAATGATAAAGTGTTTTCTAGGAAACAAATTATGATAACCATGAAACTATGTTGAAAATGCTCAGTCCACTGATAGGTCAGTGAGCCCTACAAGGAAAAGGCTGTGTGGGAACTGACACTTGATAAACTAAAACAAGGTGGGCAGGAAGGAAGAACATATTCCAGAAGAAAGAAATAGAATGGGAAACCATAGCCACTTTCTTGGGAGAATATGTGATCCCAAAGACATAGCCAGGTTCCTGCATTTCATAGGGAGGAGTGCTGCGAAGCCAGGAGTCTTTGTGACTCTGCAGGCCCACGAAGAAATTTTAGTTTTCAACAAAAAGTGCTTTATCACTTTATGACTGGGAATGCATTCTAACAAAAATAAACAGTCAGGTGTAATAAAAGAGAGAGCCTTAGATTTCAGCCAAATTTGCAATAACCCTGCAGTAGACAAGTGAATAGGTATAAATTACAAGAGATAAGAAATAAAGGAAGGTGAGAATTGAGTGAAAATTTATTCTGACCAAAAACTGTTACTGTGTAAAAAAATATCAACAGTTGTTTTTGATCCAATTTTGCCTAGGTACTGTAACAGTGTAGAAGTATTAGCAAGAATTTTCAATGTTCATGGAAATAATTCAATACATTAATATCCTCTAGGTCTGTGACCTTCTCAACTATCTATTTATTACTCATGTATCAAAATTTGTTCTCTGCAGTCTTACCAAGAAGGTCATTCTGAGGGATCCATTTGTACAGCTGAGTGTTGGGTCCTAGAGTGGCTGGTTTCTTGCCATCAAATCTCCATACAACCTTTTAGAATAAGGAAACCTCTAATTATTTTAGTCAAATGTTAGATTATGGCATGGTTAAAGGCTAAAGAGTTTAATAAATCACAAAATTTAATATCTATCAAATGACAGGTAAGGAAATGAGAATGAGAGGTAATAATGTTAAATACTAAAATGGTGATGTAAGTAAAATACCTATTTTTCCTGTACATCTTTTAAACTTTATTAAATTTGGGGTGAAGTCTCAATGCTTCATAAATTGAAACTTATAGAAGTGAGTTCATTGATACCACACATCCATATTTCAAATACAGTCACTATATTTCTCTTGTAACAATGTGTTAAAATACCTGACTACACACTAAAGAATCTATACTTGGTACTAATTATGAAGTGCTAAATATAATGATACTTTCCAAATGTGCTATATGAGGAAATTTATTTGTGATCATTTGTTTCATGCTATTGTGTTAATGTCTCACCATGGAGAATACATTTTTAATTCAATGAGTAAGTCCTCTAGCTGATATCAGTCCTATTTCTGATATGACAGAGGCAAATCTTCCATAATAAGGTGAGATTTGTCTTTCTCTTATCTAGCTGATTAGGCTGGTGCTTGTGCAGAGTTATCATGTATTTGACAGCTTCCCCATTATGGAAGAAATTCAAAGTGCCAGACCCTCACAGCTGAAAAGAGGTTATTTGGCTCCCAGTTTCAGTAGATTCAGCTCATGGTTGGCAGGGTCCAAGAGGGAAACATCAATGGTGAAGGCTATGTTGGAATGGCATTGCCTAGTTATTGTTGACCCCAAAGCAAAGCAGGGAAGCATTGCCAGAGGAATGGGCCATGAAACAGATCAAGATTTCACCTTTATTTCCTGATATTTCTACACATATCAAATATCAAATATCTACAAATGTCAAATTTCTGAGCTGTGTGCTTCACTGATCCTCATGGCAGCTAATGAAACAAGCAATTGATAATTAAATGTAATTTTGACCCTGTACCTCCTTTCAGTTTAACACTCAACACAAATCTTAAATCATAGTGAATCTCCAAAAAAGGACAATAATCTATTGGTAATTGTGTCTTACATGGTATAACTATGTTGTGTATGCCTGGAAATATGGTAGTCTCTTCAGAAGGCTCAACAGATCCACTGTTGTCAGAAGTGCAATAAAAGTTCCATGTGACATGGAAAATAAGTGAAACATCATAAAATAAAAATAGAGTTAAATAATCCAATGTGTCAGTGGCATAGCATTTTCATTTCAGAAAGAGAAGTATCAGGGTGGGAAAGAATCAGGCCAAAAAATCATGAAACTCAACTGGCCAAATGTTAAAGGCTTTATCTTGATGTCTGGCACCCAAGATATATGATGATGAGATTCGTGATTTAAAGTAGTTTGATGTCTCAGCATTGCTTGGTGTGAACCATAGCTTCTTTCCTTGGCAAACTCCACATACTCCCCATGTCTTTATTAGCTCATGTCTCCTATTCTTAGTGCCTCTGATATTTCAGGGTTTCCGTTGCCTGTTCAACTTCATTCAAAGGCAGGAGCCTCATGCATTTCTGTGTCAGGAGCAAGAGCTCATGGACTGACTTCCCTTCCTCCTAGCACTGAACTCTGACCAGATTCCCCTCATTAGTTTCTACTCACAGTGTCCTAGTCCTCCCTTCTCTGTAGCTCCAAACCTTTCCAATTTTCTCTAACTGCATGAACAGATATAATTACAGCAATAAGCCTATTTACCAAGTATCCACTTTCTTTATCAGATATCCGTATGGTTTAGCTAAGGTATACAACACTCAGAGTTGAAAGGAAGTGATGTTTATCTGACTCATGATTCCACCAGTCTGTCCATGATTGGATGGCGCCAGGGAAAAGCATTATCGGGTAAGCACTAAGCAGAGCAGAGCTACTTGATGTGTGTAGCTTGCAGCAGGGTGGGAGAGCAATGCCACGGAGGAAGGGAAATTGGGTGATGTGTTAAGGTCATGTCCCCATTACCTATCCTGTTGGACCTGCAGTTGATGCACAAGTCCCCTAAACAGCTCCAAGACAGTCAAGATGAAATTATGTTTCATTATCAATCTTAGTTTTTTGCTTTCTTTGAATAGCACTAAGAATATTATTATGGATAGACCATTTCCAACATACAAATGGGTAAAGGAGGCAAAATTGTATAGGAGAAGTTGCACATCTGACTACTTGATATTATTTTTATTGTGCTGTTGCTTTGACTAATCAACTTTAACCAGATTCTGGTATTTTCTGTAGTGAACACAGTGTCCTCAGTTATCTTGCATAGAAAGTATAAAACCAAAAGTACAGAACTGAGTCACTGCTCTGTCTGTGGCTTTAATGCAACTCTTATAGCAAGATCACAGAGCACTAGTTAGACACATGTTTTTCTGATCCCATTGATGTTAAAAGTATCATGTGTACTCTTTGAATGTATGGTTGATATCCTCTAAAAGTGATTAATGCCCTGAATGATGGAACACCAGAAGGTGTATATTTCACGAAGGAAATTTCTGTCATCAGTCTCTTTACAGACTTGTCAAGTATTTGGCTACCACTGAAGCACTTTAGCTAACCTTCTGTGGAATCTGAGCAAGGGCTGAAGCAATCACATCGGCTTTGTCTTCTGTCATGTTCATGACCATTGACCCCAGGCTAAATATCACAATGCCATGTTCTCCAGAGCTCTGCACAAAGTCTTCCAGTTCCTGTGAAGAAAGAATTTGCCTCCATCACAAAAGAGCAACAGTGGACAATGCAGTCAAAAGCACTCCTAAATACTGCTGAGGAAAGAAATCACATAGTATGAGGAATTACTAGAATGTTGACTCTTTTAAAAAGTAATTAAAAGGTATCTAAATGTGTATAAATATCTTTTATAAGGTATTTAGTTCAGTAATGTAGCAGCTACTTTTTGCAAGCATTCTCTGGAACACATTTATCATTTGGTATTAAAAATTTCTCAAATTAATGAAATACATCCTCCTGTATCTTTGTCTAGCATACTTCTCATTTCTGTTTCAGTGGATTTGACTAATTTAAACATGTCATACAAGTGCATTCACATATTTTCCATCAACTACTTTGAAGAGATAATTTGTCACATTCTAATGTTCTTGCCTCAGATAGAAAGAAGCTAGAGACCAGCTTCAGAAGGAAACTCCCCAGACTCAGTAACATCCACAGACTGGGCATGGAGAAGACAGCACCAAGGGCCAGGATATTTCTGAAGCCAGTCTCGTAGCTGACCGCTGTGAATGTCAGATCTACTAGTTCCAAAATAAGTGATCTCTTTCAATGTTCAGAAAAAGTTCATTAAATGTAGAAAATATTCCTATTAGCTTTGTTTATAAGCGGTGATAATACTTTTGTATGACCATAGTACATATAGTTCATCAGTAAATCTGCTAAGAGATACTTGGGTTGCTTCAATCTGTTCATTTTCAAGAATAATGCTGCTGTGATCACCAATGTCTCTCCATTAACCTTTACATATATTTACAAAAGTGGAATTACTGAATCATAAGCCTAAATTTAATTTTTTAAAAATCTCTAAACTGTTTTCTATAGTGTATTTTTTGGCAAACCTAATCGCCAAATCTTATGGGAAATGGATTTCTCTTGTTGCTGTGCTGGTTGTTGAATAATTTTCTTTTAAATTTAATTAAGTTACTTTAATTTATATTTATAATATGAAATAATGATATATTTATAATTGCATTTAACTTTTAAAAAATAACATATATATGGAAGTATACATAAATGTGTGTATATATTCAAACTGGAGTCATACATACTTATGGAAATGATTTTCTCTTTTACCACATTCCAGTCAACTTCTCTTGAATCACTTCTCAAGTAGCAGTTCAAGGCTTTCTGTCTGCATCCAGGGATTTGTTATTTCTCTTTGACTTACTCATTTCAAGCAAAAATAATATATATTAGAATTTTGTTACATTAATGTACTAAATATTCACACTTTTTTCTTCAGCAAGTATTTTATTTGGTTCAAATTTCCATCATGTGCTTTTTATTCCTCTCAGTAATATTCTATCACCAATCCTCCCCTAACATCTTCTCTAAAAAGTACCCTTGCCTTATATTCAAGTTTGAGCCTAATTTCAGTCACACTAGTGCATTTACACATCATGGAATTCTAAGATAGTACCTGCGCAATCATGTTTAGAAGGTGACAGTAATTAGTTTTTCATTACCTATGTTAAGTTTCTGGAAATGTTTGAAAAAATAATTAAATATAGGTTTCCAGAGGCATTCCCTGTCTTATACACCAGAGTCCCAGAACTCTGTAGGTTTTGATCTTCCTGGAACCCTAAAATAATAACATTTATTTTAAGTGCTCACCATACACTCATTCAATTGGGAGATTGGGGATCTAGGTCTGTTCTCTAATAACTGGCACGTGGAATAGGGACCTGAAATACTGGAAGTAAGTGTTTCAGCCTGAATGAGTAAGACTTCCTAAAGTAAAAAGTGTGGATATGGAAAGTCTGAATGTAGAGGAGGTCTTTATAAGATGAAAGCCATCACTAGAGTTCTGGGAGAAGAGAGGGAAGAATAAGATTGAATCTTCCTGCTATGAGCAAGCCATTTTATATAGTAGTAAAAATAGGGCCAGGGATATAGCTCAGTGCCACAATTGCCTGCAAACACAAGTTCCTGAGTTTGACTAATAGAAACAAAAACAAAAATGGGGTAAAAGCTTTCAACTGAAAAGCAAAGATATTTATGGCCACTCCAAGGCCTGCTTACATGCTAAGTGCTTTATGTGCCAAAGAAAGACCTAGCAAACATGTTAAAAGAGATAAGAAAATATCCATGACTTCCTAAGACAGCATTTTAAATATTGATAATTGCAAATGAGTTGGAAAAAATCTTTAAAAGGCACATAGTGCTGGAAAAATCACTTCCTGTGAGACATTCTCAATTTGGAACCTAGTTCATTTAGTTTTGTGTCCATTACAGAGCTCATGTTGATAGCTTCTAATTCAGATACTGAGGAAACAAAAGAGATACAAACTGTGGCTTCTGTCCCCAGGTTGGACAGGAGCAGGTGTGGTTTACAAAGAATTTGTCACAAGGCGCTATCCAGAAATTTATGTGTTTTAAAACAAGCTGCTGTGAAAGGGGAGAACATAGCCTCCCTGCTTGTTTTCCAGTTGGAATTGAAAGAAATGCTAATGACTAGTAGTATTTTGTTCATATGCCTTATGAAATACAACTGCAAAATCCTTAAACAATGTGTGGTTGATAATGGAGTCTAAATTCCACTTACAATGGGACTCTTAGAAAATGTTTTGGATGTATATCAATTGAAACCTTATATCAAAAACGTGGCACAAACTTTCCAGACTTCTGCTCAATTCCTTCATCCTGATGTGAAGTTAAAGTCTCTTTTCCAGCTCAGGGTCATAATTAACAGAGCATGTCCCAATCCATGTCCAGCAATAAATGAGGAAATGTTTTCTGGAATAGGAATATATGTGCTGCTTGACGAACAGATTCATCATCCTGATGAGCTATATTTGCAATTGACAGATTCAATAAAAGAGCATTGTCAACTATTCAAGAGGATGAGACGGGGCTGGGGATTTAGCTCAGCGGCATAAGTGCCTGCCTTGCAAGCAGGCAGTCGTGAGTTCGATCCCCGGTACCGATAAAAAGGAAAAAGACAAAAAAAAAAAAAAAAAAAAAAAAAAAAAAAAAAAAAAGAGGATGAGACTCCTCTGACGTCCTTTTCAAATGTCCTCCAGGGACCCCAAGAAACATTCACTCTAGTTGCAGCTAATGTAAAAGAAGCTATTTGTAGATGGATTTCAAAACACAAATGCTGTGAACATTTTATTCTACAATTGGCATATAAAATTCTAATTGGGAAAATGAACAGGCTTTAAATCCTATAAAATCAAGTAATGATTTACCAACATATTTGAACTTATCAAGACACTGGAACTGAGTTATATAAGACAACTATGATGGCTCAGGTTATGGCTGATCTTGCAAGTATAAAAGGAAGTAATGTGAAATGTTTTAGATGTGGAAAAATGGGTCAATTTAGAAAAAATTGTGAAGCTCTTTTGAGGTCTAATAGAGCTGATGTTGCAGCTACAGTGAGTCAAAGAAGCAATGCCTTTGGCATGGAGGACTAGGATCCTGCACCAGGACTTGGTCCAAAATGCCAGAAAGGAAGGCATTGGTCCAAATATTGTCACTCTAAATTCCATAAGGTTGGTACACTTTTGCCATGAAAATGAGATGATGGCCTTTCATCAGACCATCCAAAAAATAGAGAACAAACAGCCTGTGAAGTATGGAGTATGTTATCCACCCAGATAGGCACAGCAGTCATCCAGAGGGCTTCAGGGTGTCTATGAACTCAGCCTAAAATTCTGTGCTACCTTCTGTAAGATAATCCTGCAACATGAGGTGGAAAACAACACAAAATATAACAAAACAAAATCTCTTCAACTCCTCTGAATAAATAGTGTCTCCAAATTTTACCCACTATTGTGTACAGAATGTCAAATTTTCTCTATTTTGTCAGAAACATAATTTGGATGAAATACAATGTTAAGATTTAGCAATGAACTTAAATTAAATTACTGCATGATTCATGACTAAATTTTTACAATGAAAGCTAGACAATTTCTGATTATGTTTGCTAATGTGTTTAATTAGGTGTTTCATGTATGAATATGTGTTATATATGCATGGTAATTTCTATGTTCTAGATGGTATTACTAATTTAGTAAAAAATTTAGATGTTTCTTCAACATATTTTGAATTTAAATGAGCTCTTACATAGATTAAGTTTGATAGATTCTTTGTTAGTATGTCAATTAATTTCAAGCTATTGGGTTGTTCTTGAGTTATATTTTACAATCTCTTTGAGTCTAGAAATCTATTCATTTCTTCAAAATCTGCTAGTTCATGTTTTCAAGCAAATAGTATCTTTTGGTTTTCAGTGTTTTGAATTTCGATTTTGCCTTCTTCATTTATATTTTCATTCATGTGATTCTTTCTCTCTTTCTCTTGCTAAGTCTAGTGAAGCATTCATCTATTGCTTTTATTCATTCAAAGACCTGGTTCAGCACTTTCGATTTTCTATGTTTCCTTTACACTTCAATTTCATTGCTTTGTCCTCTAGACTTTATTCCTTTCCTCCAAATTTTATTTGGTCCTGACTATTTGTTGTTTCTCAAGTCCCTTAAATTTTTGCATAGGGTTTTTACTTGATTTTGGTCTGTTTTACAAATATTAGCACCAATTTTAATAAACTTTTCTCTTAGAACTGCCTTCATAGTGTTCCAGAGTTTGTGCTGAGTTGTATCAGCTTTGCCATTAACTTTCAGAAGTTCTTTTCTCTGACTCCTTCTGTAAGGCATTGGTTATTTGTGAATGTGTTGTTAAACATACCTGTCCTTCTAATTTTTTGCTGGGGTATCTGGCACAGGTGGTTTGAGTTTCTGGGCTGTGTTTGCCTTGGATTCCAGGTCAAGAGAGTGTCAATCCTAAGTGTGTGATAAAGGAAGACAGCAAGAGAAGGACTTCTTAGTGGCAGATAGAGGTGGAGCAAAGACGGCAGATAGATAACAGCTGGCTTCAGAGGCTCCCTGAAATAGTCAACTTAGAATTCAACATAATACAGCATGGGGAGCCCTAAGAGATGGAGATGAATTCTCTCATCCCA